TTTAGCTCTCCTCCTTCCTACAAGGGCAGGCGGTCACAACCCTCCGTTTTTGCCTTGTTCATTAAGTACTTTCCCCTCAGTGCAGTCAACCTTGTAAAGGACTAGGAGTGTAGTGATTTGTTTGAATTAACCAACAATTAAATGGCATTACATTGAACTCTTCTAGAGGAAGAGTTAACTCTTGCATTATCTAAGAAAGGCGCTATTCCTAATAATTCTCTAATTCATAAAATCACCAGAAATATAACATAGGTAAATGAAGTCATTCTGGCCTCTTGAGAGAAAAGGTTATTTTAAGAGGAAGACACCACCCACAGACCTGTTCTGGCTAGGACCAAGCGTCCAGGGTAGTCCTACTAAACTGGTCCCATGCACAGAGCTGCTTTCCATTTTCATTTTCTAAATTAATGAACAATAAGGTTCCATTTCCTCCCCCACAAAATGGGCAGCCAGAAAGGTGTAATAGAAGTAATTCTCGGCCTCTGGATAATGAGACGTAAAGGCAGAGAACCCTTAATTTTTTACTTATTTTCTGTTCTGGATTTTATTCTAAACACCACAAACACCTATTCCTTATGTGTTTTTTTAAAAAGTGTTTTTCTCCTTTAAAAATTAAAAAGCATGGTTGAAGTAGAATTGTCCATCCACTTTCTCAGTGACTCTTTCCAGGCCCTTCCCATTCTTAACAAGAATTAGTGAATTTCAGATATTTAAATAATAACGCAAACAACAATAATAAACAATATCACAATGTCTACCATCTAGTTTGTTAATTTAAACTATCCATCTGAATACATCCCTTTCTGGGAGACTTTCATAAATAACCATGGTTTATATATGTTTGCAATCTTGGGATCTTTTTATGTCTGATGGAAATTAAGTTTTAAAATTAAATTTAAAGTACTGACAACCTCCCTTCCCTGCCTTTGGCTGCCGGTGCTTTAGTCATGTTCAACTTGTTTTTAACTCATTTCCTTAGACAGGGAACTTACTTTTATGTTTTGGGTAGATAATATCGAAACCAGGCAAGGGCATTACCACATCATGGATGGAGTAATTATTAACATCTTCTTCCTCAATATAGGTGGCTGTGGCTGCAAATTTACAAGTGAACAACAAATTAAGAAAAAAATCTCCTAAAATTATACACATCCACACAACTGAAAAGTTCAAGTTAGGGGACCAGCAGTTAACGTAATGGCTATGTCGCTGGACTCCCACGTAGTCAACCGCGGTTCACGTCCCAGACCCAGTGGCTTAAAACTCACACTGGGCGCATGTGCGTGCGTGCCCAAGATCCTGAGAGGAGAATGGAGGAGAAGGGATTGCGGCATGGCCATTCCCTCTTGGGTTGTGATTTCTCGCTTTCTATCTCTCTGTCTCTGTCTGTCTGGCGAGCACACATGCCCTATTGCAAAAACCTCTCAAAAAAAAA